CGCGCGCCACCAGCCCCATCGCCTCCCCGAGCTGCCTTCGTAGCTGCACGCGCTCCTCCTCCTCCGCCGCCGCAGTAGCAGCGGCAGCAGCGGTCGCAGCAGCAGCAGCAGCAGCCTCGGCCGGCTCCGCCGCCTCCGCCTCCGCCTCCGCCCGCTCGCCGCCCTCCTCGCCACCGCCACGGGCGGGGCCGGCGAGGGCTTGGGCGGCGAGGGCTTGGGCGGCGGCGCCGCGCCGCCTCCCGCTCCCCGTGAGCGCAGCCCACCCCTCCAGCGCTCTCCGCACTAGGCGCCAGTCGCGGTCGGCGGCATTCCACGCGCCGAGCTGCGCCGCCACCGCCTCGAGCTGCGTCCCTCGCCGCCGCGCCACGTCCGCCGCGAGCCGCGCCGTGTAGTTCGGCGCGAGGCTCTGCTGCAGTGCCTCGCGAGCCGCGTCCGCCTCCGCGTCGGACGTCGCAGTCGAGACCCGGAAGAGGCCCTCGGCGATGCGGCCGTTGGCGGCGTGCAGCTCGGCGAGCTGCTGGTCCTTGCTCGCCTCGCGCCGCGCCGCGCGGGTCGCCGCCGTGTGCGCGCGAAGCCGGTAAAAGGCCTGGTTGCGCAACCACGTACCGGACCGCTGCGAGGCCCAAGCGACAGCCAGCTCGCGCGCGCGCGCGCCCGTGTCGGCCTGCGATGCCGGGGCCAGCGCGAGCGCCGACTCATCGCCGCTGTCTGCGGATCCGAACGGGTCGGGCGAGGCGGCCGAGCTGCGCTCGAGGTCAACGTCGGTCGGCGCCTCAGCCGCAGGTGCCTCTTCCGCCGCAGCCGCCTCTTCCGCCGGCGAGGCGTTGGACTGCCCTCCGGGCTGCCCTCCGGGCATAAGCGCTCGCATGTTCTCGGCGACGTGGCGCTCGACCATCGCGACCCGCTCCGGGATGTTGTATTTCGCACAGAACTTTGTCGCGAGAACATGCGGGTCGTCGCCCGGAAAGACGTGGATCGTGCCCTCGCGGCCGTCCGGTATACGCACCGACATCTTTATGATGACGCGTCCCGGAGTCGCCATATCGGCAGAAGTAGACCCAAGGACGCACCGAGAGGGCGACAGGGAGACTGTTGCCAAAAGCGAAAAAAAAGCGGTTTTTTTTAGTTGCGCCTTCGCAGTCCGAGCCTGGCTGTTCTTCACCTTTCTACCTACCTACCTACCTCGTTGTTAATAGTACAAACCCAGTGGTCCCTTGCGAGCGGTCCTTCGTTGCAGTCGCGCACACGCACACGCCACGCCGCACCGCCCGCCCACTGCCCCGCCCAGGCGGGAAAGAGATGAAGAGATGGGACAGCAAAGGAGGAGCACAAGCACGTATGGGAGGGTTCAGTTGTGCGCCACGCTGCCCGGCGTCTCTCACTTTCCGGGACAGCCCCACCCTTTTGAGGCAGGAGAGTGACGTTCAGCTTAGCCTTCGATGTTATGAAACAAACGCAAGGCGGACATGGCATATCGCTCTCGGGCCCACAGACATCCCGAAATCACACCCCGTTTTTGCCCATTTTCGGTCGTTCATCAAAATATCTGAAGATCCTACTATAGGATTCTCCCCAAACCTTGCTCAGCTGATCCAGCATGGGTCGTAGGCTAGGCCTGGGCAAAGAAACCAGTACCTCATCCGGCTTCCCTGAGCGTCACAGCTCGGTGATCGCGCCGGCCAGACACCACTGAGACGTCCGTTCCGGGCATTTGAACGCGACCGTCGGGGGGGGAGACATGGGCTCTATGGCTCAGACTGGACTCCTCTTGGTCCCTTCTGATGCCCTAGGCCACACCTGGGCCTTACCTGGGGTTCTAGGGGCCGGCCAGGGTTTACCTCCCTACTAAAGGGGCCCGGAGGACCTTAAGAAAACAATTTAGCGCGCCAGGCCGCCGTTTCTAAGCCTTTCCACAGCCCCCCACCCCACGCCGTGGTTTCTTAGCTCCGGCCGGGGCACTCAAGCCAGAGCGCCGGCCCGAAGGATTTTTAGGTAAGAGGTAAGCTGCGGTCCGCGAGGGCGATGCCAGAGTCTGCCGCCGAGTCGGCTCTCTGTCTGGATGACGGGAAGACGCACACACGCCTCCATTCACTCCATCCACTCAGAACACCGCAGACTTGGAAAGTGACAAGTGCGCGCGCCGCAGGGGAAGAGAAATTTTGAGCTGGGCTCCCGTTCACACTCGTGTCTGGCCTTTTCTCGGGGCCGCGCCTGCGGCGCGCCGTGGTTTCTTAGATTTTTGCGGAAATCGCTCGGCGTGGTTTCTTAATGGTACGTTTTCTTAATGCCCGCAACCCACGGTAGGATTCCTATCTAGATAGGCCAAAAGCGAAACTTTTTTTATTTCTTTAAACCCTTTTTTTCCAGGTAGGCGATGCGATGAGCCGCAGGAGCGGCGGTGAAGCCTGGTCATCGCCGGAGTCGCCATATACACCCGACGCAGAGAGAAAGAAGATAACGCGGCGCTCAGCGGAGCTGGGAAGAGGACCGCCGCAAGCGGCGTGGCGTGGAGCGGTTGAGCATCCCTCCGGGGGCCCCTCTGCGCCGGGGAGGCGTTGTTGGAGGCTAGGACGCAAGCGTCCGTCGCCCTTTTCAAACTCGGGGCCCACTCACTCCGCTCTACGCTCCGACCCGAATTTGGAGGGCCTAAAAGTTTAAGGTGTTGCTGCGCAAAAGGGGTCGGACACAGGGCGCAGCTCATGCTAAGAGCTAGAAGGGGAGCTAGAGAGAACGACTACCCTGTCCCGTTTATTGCGTATACACCAACACCACAAAAGCTCTCTCTCTCCTGTCCTCACTCAGAGCACAGAGGGGGGTCACAACTACCGAGTCTCTCGACTAGCTGCCACGTTGCCGACCGAGAGCGGATCTCCTCCTGCTCCGCAAGGAGGGTGGCCAAGGCTAAAGTCTTGTCGGAGCCGCCGGGCGTGTTGACGACTTGGAGAAGGTCGCCCTTGTGCTTGTGCTTGTAGAGATGCTCGAGGGGGTGCTTTGTGGGGCGGTGCGCAGCCAGGCCAGCAGTGAGGGGAGGCGCACCCTCACTCTCCTCGGTTGCAGAGCTCGTCGGAGGCTGCGTCACGACGGGAGGGTCGCGACAGCAGTCCTCGGGCGAGCCGACGCGCATGTCCAACCAGCGCTGGGACTCGTTGTGACGGCAGACGCCGGCTGCTTCTCCAACCGCTTCTGCAGCGTCCTTCTTTGCCCGTGCATGGGCTCGATCCGATTCCGCAGCGTGTCGTCCCCAGCGGCGGTGCTGCGCGGGAGGCGGTCGCGGGCACGCTGGGCTCGATCAGCTTTCCCTAGCACGGATTTGGCGGACGTTCTTGGCTTCAATTTTACGAATGTCTTGGCACCAGCTGAAGGCTTGCCCGGCGCACATCACGCAGTTCGTGCACGGTATTCGGATTTTGCTATTTGCTCGTGTGGGCGTACAGCTGAGGATCAGCTCGGAGCTCTCGGCAGCCGCCCTTCTCCACCTCGCCGGTCATCATGCCCACGCAGAACTCGATGAAAGCGGACACCGCCGGCACTCGCGGCACCTCCTTGCCGCGCACCTTGTCAACAATGAGCTGCAGGTTGGCCAAGCCGTCCTCCTGGGTCACCACCTCGCAGAACGGCGGGTAGCCCTGCTTTTGGCCCCACGCGTTCATGGTCAGCACGCGCTTCTCGTACTGCGCGGCCACCCGCTGCTGCCGCTCCTACATGGATCCACACACACGTGAGCCCGACCGAGAGAGGTGCTCTGGCTCCCTCACCGCCCCGTTGCGCACCTTGCCTTTGAAGCCGTCCGCCTTCAGCCACAGGTTAAACTTCACTTGGTGCTCCTTGTCGGAGGCGAAGTCCTTGCGGTGCGGCATCGTCACTACGGACACAGAGCCCGCCGGAGTCTCCCGGGCAATTTGCTCGGTACCGCGCCAGCGGGCCTTCTTGATGAGCGAGTCGTGCTTCGCCGCCGTCGCCGCGATTCCCGTGCCGCCGCCACGGAAGGTGGCACGTGCTTTTGCGAAGCCCACTTTGCGGCCTTTGCCGCTTGCCCACCGCTTGGCTTCGTCAACGGGCGAGTGCCTTACCACACTCGCCTCGGCATCACTCGAAGCCGCGAGCTCGGATGCGGCCACAAGAGCGGCCTGCTTGGCACGCAGCTGCGTAATCGTCGGCCCGCGTGCGCGGCTCTTCACGGCCTGTGCCGGCGAGTTGGCGTTCACGCGCTGAATCATCATCGTCATGGCTGCTGTCTCGCTCGCTCGTGCGTCCTTGGAACTTGTGCCCGCCTCCTTCTCCTATGAGCTCGTATGCCACTCGCCGCCTGTGTTTGGGTTTCTATGTTTGCGATTTGGAATTTGGTATTTGTCCAACTCTTTGTTTATTTATTTATTTATGCACATGCACATGCACATGTGCATGTCTAGAGAGAGAGGGAGGGAGGGAGGGAGAGAGAGAGAGAGAGAGAGAGAGAGAGAGAGAGAGAGAGAGAGCGTACGGTGTGCGGAGGCTGAGTTGCACAGGCTTGGGATGAGAAGTGCACCTGGGGGGGCTGCAACGGCTGCTCCGAGTGCGGCGCCGAGCCTGAGTGCAAACCATTCTGCGAGACCAAGACGCAACCATGGTCGGTAAAGTGCTCCTGGAACGGCTGCTCGGCCTGCGGGGACGTGTGCAATGCGTGCAAGCCCTACTGTGCGGTCAAGACACAGCCGTGGGATTTGCGCTGCAGCTGGAACGGCTGCTCTGGCTGCACCGAGTGCTCCGTGAACCCGATAGCCACGGGCCCGCCCTCGCGCCCGCCGCCCACGCCGCCGCCGCCCTCCACCTCGCCCACGCCGCCGCCGCCCTCCACCTCGCCCTCGCCTCCGCCGCCCACGTCGCCGCCGCCGGCGCCTCCGCCGCCCAAGCCGCCACCACCGGCGCCTCCGCCGCCCACGCCGCCGCCGCCCTCCACCTCGCCGTCGCCTCCGCCGCCCACGCCGCCGCCGCCCTCCACCTCGCCCTCGCCTCCGACGCCCATGTCGCCACCGCCCGCGCCTCCGCCGCCCACGTCGCCGCCACCGGCGACTCCGCCGCCCACGCCGCCGCCGCCCTCCACCTCGCCCTCGCCTCCGCCGCCCACGTCGCCGCCGCCGGCGCCTCCGCCGCCCAAGCCGCCACCACCGCCGCCTCCGCCGCCCACGCCGCCGCCGCCTCCCGCCTCGCCTCCTGCCTTACCGCCGCCATCACCCCCTCCGTACCTGCCCGGCCTCGCGCCCACGCCACCACCGGCGACTCCGCCGCCCTCGCCGCCGCCGCCCACGCCGCCGCCGCCCACGCCGCCACCACCGGCGCCTCCGCCGCCATTCGTCACCTCCATGGTCGAGGTGAGCGGCGGCACGTTCGCCGTCGAAGTCTCCTGGTCGCTCTCTTGCGACGGCCTCGCCGGTCCCATCACGGGCGGGGCACCCTACGACGCGATGCACGCGGTGCCGCCGGGCTCTTGCACCCTCGACATGGTCGATTCGTACGGCGACGGGTGGAACGGAGCAGAGTGGTCAGCGCCAGGCTGGACCGATGAGACTTTCGGCCTCGAATACGGGTCCTCGGGCAGCGCGAACTTTGTCGTGGCTTACGCACCGCCTCTCCCACCGCCCCTGCCGCCGCTGCCGCCGCCGACGCCGCCGTCGCCGCCTCCGCCGTCTCCGCCGCCTCCGCCGCCATTCGTCACCTCCATGGTCGAGATGAGCGGCGGTTGGGACCCAGACGGCCCAGTCTCCTGGTCGCTCGCTTGCGAAGGCCTCGCCGATCCCATCACGGGCGGGGCAGACTACAGCGCGATGCACGCGGTGCCGCCGGGCACTTGCACCCTCTCCGGCTACGGCGACGGATGGACGTGGTCAGCGCCAGGCTGGACCGATGAGACTTTCCCATTCGATCCGTACGGCTACGGTACCTTTGTCGTGGTTTACGCACCGCCTCTCCCACCGCCCCTGCCGCCGCTGCCTCCGCCGCTGCCGCCGACGCCGCCGACGCCGCCGACGCCGCCGACGCCGCCGACGCCGCCGACGCCGCCGCCACTCGTCACCTCCGTGCTCCGTGGTCGAGGTGAGCGGCGGCTCGTTCCCAGGGGAAGTCTCCTGGTCGCTCGATTGCGACGGCCTCGCCGATAACATCACGGGCCCGCCCATCGCGGCAGACTACGACGATCTGGCAGACTACGAGATGATGTTCGCGGTGCCGCCGGGCTCTTGCACCCTCGACATGTTCGATTCGTACGGCGACGGGTGGAACGGAGCAGAGTGGACAGCACCAGGCTGGACCGATGAGACTTTCACTTTCTACTCTGGGTACTTTCGGAGCGTGACATTTGTCGTGGCTTACGCACCGCCTCTCCCTCCGCCCCTGCCGGCCCTACTTACCCCCGAAGGCAAGTATGCCCCTCTCGTTGTAACGACCCGCACTGCGCCCGAGCCAAGCCATGCCCATCATAGGGCGCGCGGAGCGAAGCACAGACCCCGCCGAGCCACGAGCCACTCCTGCGGCTGTCGGGCCGGGCAGCTACAGCCGGACGAGCCGAGCCGAGCCCGTCCACGGGTGCGCTCAGCCCGCTGCCCCGCACAACACCCCCCGTCTCTCGTAGCTGGCAGCTGGCACTTCTCTCTGGATACATGCACCCGCTCTCCGCGTGCCCTCGCTCAGGTTTGCTCCCTTCAATACCACCTCTAATCGGACGCAGCCGGGGGCCGTTGCCATAAAGGCGGCCACGCCGGGACCCGGCCAGTACACGAGAGGCGAAGCTGACTCTGCCGGTCGGCCCTCGCCCGCATCTGCCTTTGCCTCGGGGACTGCTCGCAACGGCGTCTCGGCCGGGCCTCCGCCCAAGGCCGACGCGCCAGGACCAGGCGAGTACAGGCTGCCGTCGGACTTTGAGAAGAGACGGCGGCGGCACACAGGTCGAGTACGGGCTGCGTCGGCAGGGTTCCGGCAGCATGCCGCGCGCAGCACGCCGCCCTCCATTCCCGCACGCGACCAGTCGTTCGGATACGAGGAGGAGGCGGATCGGACGCTCGTCATGCAGCGGCCGCCGCCGACGGCCCCGAGGTACAGCGAGCCCGACTCAAAGTTGACGCGCCCCTCCGGGTTTGCCACCGCGTGGGGCAACTCCAAAGTCCAGCGGGAAGTGTTTGGAAAGCCACCCGCAACCCCAGGCCCCGGGCAGTACTACGCCCTCGTGTCCGAGCCGGCCGCACCAGCCGCCGCTGCCGCGCGCGCCCGGTTGACGACCGCAGCCTTTGCCGACGGCTCCTTGCGCCTGGCAGAGGCGGATCCCGAGGAACCCACTCCGGGGCCCGGACAGTATCGGCTTCCCGGAGCAATGCGGCAGCACGGCGGCGCGTCGTTTGGCTCAACGGTCCCTCGCAACGGACTCGGGACCGAAGTCTGGGCTGCGGGTCCCGGTCCCGGTGCCTACAGCCTGCGCAAGGACCAGGTTGTGCGCGCCAGTTCGGCCTTCAACACCTATCGCTCTCGGGCCCACAGACATCCCGGATCCCGCACACCCGCCGCCCCCGCGCGCGCCCCACCTCGGCCGGGAGAAAGGGGAGTGACAGTTTGGGATGGACAGCCCGAGTATGTTGAGTCCTGGCTCAACAACGCAGGGAACAAGAGGGGGTGGTCCGGCTCACAAGTCCGGCTCACGCGCCTCGAGCTTAACATCTACCGCACTGGTCACTTCCGCCCCCTCGCTCCCAACCCATCCACCCCGCCCCGGGCCGCGCCGCGCGATCTCGGGCGATCTCGCGCTATCTCGGGCGATCTCGGGGCCGCGCCGCGCTATCTCGGGCGATCTCGCGCTATCTCGGGCGATCTCGGGGCCGCGCCGCGCTATCTCGGGCGATCTCGGAGCGTCGCTCGCGCGGCGTCACACCTGCTCAAAAAGGAAGGAGGTTGGAGGCAGGAGGTCACGCCCCATCCAGAGCGCCGTCGTCGCCGGGTTTTTGGCCCCCGGGTCGTCGCCCGACGGTTGCTGCGCGGGGCAGCAGACCATCGGACGGCGCGACGACGCCCCATCCGGCACGCTCCCCCCTCCACCCGGCTATTGCCGCACGAGCGCCCTCAGCGGCGGAATTTTTCCCTCGCGCTTCCTTGGGATGTCTCTTTTTTTTCGGCTACCCAACTCAACCAGCGCGCGTGCGTCGGGGTACGCGATGCAGGGAAGGCCGGCGTATCCGGCCCCACGGTCCTACCCACCTCCGCCGCCGCCCGGGCTGCCGCCGCCGCCACCGCCGCCGCCGCCGCCATCCGACAGCCTTGCCGAGAGGGAGGAGGAGGAGCTGCAGCGCGCCATCCGAGAGTCGCTCGAGGCTCAGCCTCCGCCGCCGGCGCGTCCTCCACCGCCCCCGACAGCAAACATGACCGAGGAGGAGCAGCTCGAGTATGCGCTGTGGGCGTCCCGGCAGGCAGAGCCCGCGCCGGCCGCACGGCTCTCATCGCCGCCGCCGCCGCCGCCGCCTTACCAGCCGCCTCGGCAGCCGCTGCCGTCCCAGCCCCAGCCGCTCCCTTACCATCCGCCTCGCCAGCACCAGCCCCCGCAGCCACCCGGCCGGCCTCTGGCAGCTCCCCTCGCGCCTCCTCCTGCGCGAGCCTCCTTTTCCTCTCCCTCGCCGCCGCAAGGGCCGCCAGCGCCAGCGCCACCGCCTCGCGCATACCACTCGCCGCCGCCGCCCGCCGCTGCACCCCTCGCTTTCGCGCCCGCCACCTCCTTCCAGCCGCCTCCTCTGGCGCAGCCGCAGCCGCCGGCAGCCGCAGCCGCGCCGCGTCCCCCCGCACGGTCTGGAATTCCGGCGTCGGCCCTGGCGAGCCCGCTTGGCACGCTCCCGCCGCCGCCGCCTTTCTTTCCGCCGCGCGTCGCCCCCGCCGCCCCTCGGCCCGGGCCCGACGGCGAGCCCCCTCCGGAGGGCGGAGGAGGGGGCATCTCGTCAGACAGCCTCTCTGCCGGCGGGCTCCTCGCCTCGCGCCGCCGCTCGACCCACCAGCCGCCGAGGGTTGCAAAGCTGATCGAGATTGAGCCCGACCCGCCTCCGCCTCGGACCGGCAACCTCGCCACCCCCCCACACCCGGACACGCAGCCCTTCGCTGCAGCGGCGCCCGAGGCCGCGCGGACCTCCTCCAACGGGTCGGAGGACTTGATCTCTTTCCGAGGAGAGCAGCGCAACCCGCTCGACTGGACCGCTCAGTTTGCGACGCCCGTCTTCCCGGCCGCGGTACGCCCGGCCGCGGTACTGCCGGCCGCCACGCACGCCACTCCGCCGCCGCAGCCGCTCCTCGCCCCCTCTCTTCCTCGCGACCTTCCGCCCCCTCCCTCGCAGCCACTCCCAGCGACGCCGCCGCACGAGACGCCGCCGCCTCCGCCTCCGCCGCCGCCGCAACAGGCGCCGTACCCCGGCACCGCGCCTCCGCCTGCCGGCCCGAGCTGGCTTCGGAAGGGCTACCCCTCTACGGGCTACCCCGCTGCGCAGGGAGGAGGGGCGCCGCCCCCCTCCTACCCCGCCCCCCCCTCCTACCCCGGCCGCTCACCTCCCGAGGCAGCTTGCGGAGATATGGGGAGATATGGGGAGATCTCACCTCCCGCACCAGCTTGCGGCCCGCAGAGCGGCGCGGGCGGGCTAGCGGCGGCCGCGTCTGCCGGCGTCCCGCCCCCCGGCAGCCTCCCGCCCCCCCCCGGCGTCCGCAACAGCTTTCCAATCGCTCCGTCGGCCGCGCCGGTCTCGCCTCGCGCGCTGGCTGCTGACGCGCCGCCGCGCTCCGCTGCCGCGCCGAACGAGCTGCCGCCCGAACGTGACGCTGGTCCGGCGGACGGGACGCCGGTCTGGCTCCGCTCCGCCGGCAGGGCGCTCGGCGCGACCCCCGCCGAGCCTGCTTCGGGGCGAGAGGCTCCTGCCGGCCGGCGGGTTGCGGAGGTCGAGGCGCTCCTCTCGTACGGAAAGGTCGAGCAGGCTGTGGCGGCGGGCTGGCGCGGCGGAGAGGCGGAGCGAGCGCTCGTCCACCACGGAAGCCCTGCCCACTCCACGCTCGAGCTCTACCTGCAGCCCGCCTCGGAGCCGGGCTTGTCGCTGAGCGACCGCCGCGGCGTCGCCCTTGTCGAGTCGGTCGAGCAGGGCTCGGAGGCGGCGGCGGCGGGGCTCAGGCGCGGCGACGTGGTTTGCGCGGTGGACGGCGAGCCGCTCTACACGTGCGAGGCTGTGTCCGAGGCGGTGCTCTCCGCCTCCCTCGCGCAGCGGTACGGCCCTTCCCTCGCGCTGCTGGTGAGGCGGCCAGCGCGCCCAAAGCACAAGAGGGCCGCCCCCCTCTGGCAGCGCGAGGCGGCGGCGAGTGAGCTGCAGGCGGCGTGGCGCGCGGCGCGCGGCCGTCTGCCCGATCCACCGCCGCCGGCACCGCCTCCCACGCCGGCGCCGGTGCAGCCGCCCGCACCGCCCACTCCCGCTACACCGCCCGCTGCACCTCTCGTCCCTTCAGCCGCGCCGGCGGCCCGCCCCTCCTCTACGGCCGCGGAGCTCGCGGCGCGCGCAGCGAAGCTCTCGCAGACGCCCGTGCTGGCGCCGGGAGAGGAAGAGCTCGAGGAGGCGCCGCAGTTGGCACCGTTGCCCCCGCCGATGCTTTCCGGGAGGAGCGAGGAGGGCAGCGCCGAGGAGGGCGGCTCAGCTTTGGGAGGGGAAGAGGTGGAGGAGAGGGCAGCGGAGGAAGCGCTTGCGGCGGAGGCGGCAGCGGAGGAGGAGGAGCCTGCGGGGCCCGCATCGGAGGTGGAGGGCGTGGTGGTGGTGGTGGAGGAGGAGGAGCAGGAGGGCGGCGGCGCTGGTTGCGCACTGGAGTCCGTCCGTGCTTCGGGCGGGGAGGCGTCGCGGGGAGATCGGTCGCCGGCGAGGGAAGCGGCTGCGGCGGTGGCTGCGGCGGCGGTGGCTGCAGCGGCGGCGGCAGCGATAGCTTTTGAGGCGGCGGCGGTGGAGGCGGAGGAGGCGGTGGAGGCGGAGGAGGCGGAGGAGGCGGAGGGGCTGGCAGCGGGTCCACCGGCGGAGTCCTCTGGGCAGGGGGCGAGGGGCTCGTTGGGAGAGGGCGGCAGGGAGGAGGAGGGCAGCACGGAGGAGGGCAGCGCGGGCGCCGGGGCGCCGCTTGCCGCTGCGCCCTCGTCGCCCTTCGAAGGCGGCGCCCCGCCGACGCTCCGCCGCAGCGACTCTGGCTCGACCCTCTACTCGGAGACGGGATCCGTCACGTCCTCCTGCGCCGACGGCCGGCGGGGAGGGAGCCGTGCCGACTCGCGAGCCGCCGCGCGGGTGGAGCGCGAGGCGATGCGAGCGCGGCTTCAGCACGAGGTGTCGCTGCGGCAGGCGGCCAGCATCGAGGAGAAGCAGCGGCGGAGCGAGGCGCGCGCCGCAGCCGCGGCCGAGCGCGCGCGCAACTCGCGGCACCGGGGCGAGGAGCGCGAGGGAGAGCGGCGCGCCGCGGCGGCGTTTGTGGAGCAGGCGTCGGTCGTCTTGGACGAGCTCGACGCCGCCGTCGCCGCCCCGTCAGCTGAGTCGCGCGGGGAGGCGGCCGCGGGCAGGGCTCATTCGGGAGGGGACAAGGCGGCGGCTCCGCAGGCTGGCACGGCGGCGCACCTCCGGCAGCCGAGCGAAGAGGCTGCCGCGGCGCGGGTGATGGCGGCGGCGAGGGCAGAGCTAGCGCACGCGGCTGCGGCGGCGGAGGAGGCGGAGGCGGAGGAGCGGCACGCCATTACGCCCGCGCCGGCAGACCCGCCATCCCCGGTGGCCGCGGCGCGCGATGCGGAGGCGGGCGACGCAGGCGGCGCGGCGGCCGCTGCGGCTGCGGCGGCGGCGGCTGCGGCGGCAACGACGGCGGCGGCAGCTGCGGCGGCGGCGGCGACCACCGAGGTGGCGCAGCCGCCGACCACGCCGGGCGGCCCGCGGCCCGCGGCGGCGAGGGGCGGGTTCCTCGGCGCTTTCTTCGGGCAGCGAGCGGCGCCCGCCATCGCGTCTCTGGGGGCGAGCGGCCAGGCGGCGAGAGGGAGCGTCGGCGGTGCGGCTGGCGAGGCGGCGAGGGCGCCCCAAGAGCGGGGGGGCGAGGGGGCGGCGGGGCAGGGCGTGGGCGGGATGTCGGAGGAGGAGGCGCTCGCCCTCGCCCTCGCTAACTCGATGGAGAGCTCGCCGCCGCCGCCGCCGACGGCGTCGCCCGAGGCGATGAGCGAGGAGGAGCAGCTCGCGTATGCCCTTTCCCTCTCGGCAGCAGCGGACGTTGGGCCGCCCGCCGCCGCCGCGAACGGCGCTTCCGAGGACGAGGCCTTGGCGTGGGCGCTTCAGGAGTCGCTCAACGCAGAGGCGGCCGCGCAGCCCGGCGGCGGGGGGGCGCCTCCCGCCGCCCCGCCGGCGGGGCTACGCGTGGTCGTCACCGGCGCGGCGGAGGTCTCTGCGGGCGGGCGCGGGGACACGCACATGGTCTACTCGCTCGAGGTGGAGGGGCAGCGGAGGCCGGCCCGCACGTGCACGCGCCGCTTCTCCGCCTTCGTCGAGCTGCTCAACCGGCTCGGGCGCGAGGCGCCGGGCGAGCGAGTCTCGCGAGAGGCGCGCGGCTGCGTCGACGGGTGGAAGACGCGGCTGCTCGTCGAGAAGCGGCACGCGGGCAGGGGCGCAAAGGCGCCGGCCATCGTGTCGGCGCGCGTCGCGCTGCTGCAGCGCATGCTAGACGAGCTCCTCGCTTTCCCCGAGATCTGCTCCTCCGCCCCGCTGGCGGCCTTCTTGGCGTAGCGCGCAGTGCGCGCATGTGGATGTGCGGCACGGCGCGAGTTTGTGGGTAGTGGTTCTCGTGACATGATTTTGTCGTGTGGTCTTTTTGTGGGCGATGCCGATGGTGATCGGGCTACGGTTTAAGTGCCACACTTCACGCGTCACCGTCAGCCGAGACAGCCCGCTGCGCGCTGGAAACCTCAGGCCGGTCGCCCGCGCGCGCATATGAACTTGACACAAGTCCTCCGAGCAAAGGCGTTCGAAATCATCCTGCTCGACTCTCGTCGAATATCAGTCAAGGACGGCCCAGTCAACCGCGCCGCCACGGAGACCATCTCCCCTGTCAGCTCCCGTGCCCCTCGCCTGCTTGTGACCTCTCCGTCCCGCGTCATATTCGGGCCTAGCACCGCTGCCCTGGCTCCTCGAGGCTCATCCCCCTCCTCTCACCGCCCCTCTCTGCCAGCTATCTCTCATCTCCCTCGCCCGCTTGCCCGCCAGTATGGCGCGCTCCTCTGCCAGAGCGGCCTCCCGATCCCTCACCGCCGGCTGCTGCTGCTCCCCTGCCGGCTCGAGCGAGGCCGACGGCGCCTCGAGGGCGGCGGCAGAGGGCGGCTCCAGCGCCTGCTTCGAGAGCCACTGCTGCCACTCGACGGGTACCTATGCACCATACGTGGTCCATCGCGACTGTCACCGCCCGCCACAGGCAGAACAGCGCGCACATGCGAGGGATGGTACTCCGCCGTATCGTAGTCGTCTGGGAAAACCACCTCGCGGACCTCGCCTGCTGCCGCTCCGCCGTGCGTGCGGACCGTGGCCGGGATGACAAAGTATCGGTTGCCACGATCGTCGGTGCCGACCAGCCTTCGGCCTGTGCGGACTCCGGCCCGCGGTGTTCGTATCGAATCGCGAAGCCGCTCAAATAGCGAGCGCTCGTCCGGCGCCGCCCCGGAGCAGCGGCGCGCAGCCAGCGCCGTGCCGCGCGAGCTGAGCCGAGGAACCGAGGATGTCGCGACCAGGCGCAGCATCGCTCCTAGGATTCCTACGTACGTAGGGAATCGAGAGCGCGGGTAGCTGCTTTGACAGCTGCTCTATGAACAGTGCCCCCAGCTGCCCTCGAGCCCTCGGGGCAGCTGGATCGGCGCTCGAGCATGGAGGGGTACCCTTGTGTGGCGGGGCCTTTTCGCACAATCATGGATGGGGCCCTTTTTGCACATAAGAAAAAGGAGGGCGCAATGGTGGTGTTATGTGTTGAAACCACACTTGTAAAATGACCGGTGTGATATTACGAAAGAATTTTACAACCAGAACTCCCCTCGCACACACAACACAACACTGGGCACGGGACTGGCGCGCACTGGCACTAACACAGGTACACCACGGCAAAAGAAATCGTCCAGACCAGGGATGCGAGCTGGTGAGCGCGCTCGCCTGAACGCTAGCTGCTCGTCGCCGACTGACTGGCCGCGAAGCGGGTACGGTGGTGGTACTGGCGGCCGCAACACCTGGTGTGGAGCCTCGGGGGTGGCCCCTTGACCCTGCGGCCGTTCCAGCCGCGGCTCCACGCGCCGATCATCTACCGCCCTCCGCGCCTCCGGGGGGGGGGGCCTAGCCCTTGCTTCCCCACGAGGAGGGAGGGGGGCAGGACCCGGACTCGCCGCCGGCCCCGCCTCTCCCCCCCTCGCGCCACGCTAGGTCGTAGGCTGTGCATCAGTCGCGTCGCTTCCTCATTCGCCCGATCTCCCTCGATCCGCTCCCGCACTGCCCGAATATCGAAGGCCGAGTTGTGTTCGGACAACGGGCCCGCCGATGCCACTCGCCTCTTCACACAGCAGGCGTACACCTTCAGCGCCTGTCCCCCCGACTGTGTCGGCCCCGGTGCGATGTCGTTGACGAGGTAGTCCTCCCCCCCCACCGGAACACCTGCCCAAGGTCCGTCGAGCCAATTAGTCGTTCAGCCAGTCCCCGCACTTCCCGTGCCTGCACTGGCCTGTAGCTGGCTGGGAGCGACAGACCGATCGCCCTCAGTTCCGCCAGGACCGCCTTTTCGCCCGCCACCGTGGCCTCACGATCCCTCTCGGCTTCTCGGATCGCGTTCTGTCGGAGTCTTACCCTGTCTGCTGCCGGCACGAATCTCTCGGGCTGCCTCGAGCTCTTCCTGGCATGATCCGCGTCGGGGGAGGCCGATCCACTGCTGTCGCCCCGGCTCGGGACGTGCTCGCCCGTTGCGACGGTTGCTCCCCCCTCGCCTCCAGCACGTCCCCTTGCCGAAAGAAAGAAAGAAAAGTGATAACCCAAAGGAGGGATGGGAGAACGGCACGCCGCCACCACACAGGGATTTTAAGGAGAGGGGTGTGGTGCGCTAGCCGTCGCCCACCCTTGGGCGTCCGCCTCTTCCTATCTCACTTCGCAGTCTCTCTCCGATTCTCGCTGCAACCTTCGTGCCACCTCGCGATCTCCCCCTTCTCGTTGTGCTCTCCCTTGTCGCTTCTTCCTCTGTCGCGTCGCTCTCCTCTGCCTCGTTCTGCGCCGCCGCCGCCGCCTGCCGTTCCCTTGTTCTCTCGGCTTCTTTCGCCTTTCGGCGCAGCTCCGCCCTCCTTGCTGCATATCCTGGCCCCTCGAGTCTATCGAGCTCCCCTCGCGCAAGGACGACATTTCTGACTCCCACTCCGATCATTTGCCGCCAAGTCATATCGTTGCTCAGGTCCACTCTCTCTTCGAACACTTGTGCCTTCACCCTGGGGTGTCGACGGGCCCCCGGGGGCGACGGGGGTGCTCTCCGGCCGCGGCGGCCGAAAACGGGGACCCACCGCTGCCGCCCGCGACGCCGCCCGCCGCGTCAGATTGTCACGACGCGCGCATCGAGTCGCGTCGGAGAGCCGCGCCGCACCAGCAGCAGCATCTGCACCAGCAGCAGCAGCAGCAGCAGCACCACCACCACCAGAGAGAGAAGCGCACTTGCCCGACGCCGCCCGCCGCGTCAGATGCTCGCGACGCGCTCGTCGAGCCCAGTCGCAGAGCCGCGCCGCGCCAGCAGCAGCATCTGCACCATCAGCAGCACCATCACCACCACCAGCAGCAACAGAGACATGCAGTGCAGGCGCAGAAGCGCTCGCAGAGCGGCGCGCAGCGCCGCGCACGCCACGCTGCGGACCGTCGGACGAGCGCAGCGTACGTCGGCGGCGAGCCGCGTCGCCAGCCGTCTCGCGAGAGAGCGGCGCCGCCGCGTGCGCGCAGCAGCCGCCGCGGCAGAGGCGAGCCGCGACGACGTCCGTACAACGGATAACTGCCATTCGCGGTTCACATCAACAGGGGCCAGCCAGTCAACAGACCCCCTATCCGGCTAGGAGCCGGAACCCTGTCGCCGGCGTGGCTTGGTGGGCGCTGGCCCAACACATACATAAATGTCCCTGCACTCCATCGACCCGAGCAACCTCGACTGGACGACGCTGCTCGTCACTCTGGGCGCGGGGCTGGCCGCTGCCACGTACTTCCATCGCTGCGTCTATCGTGGCGTGCCGCCGGCACTTCCGCCGCCAGGCGGACTGCAAACCAAGGGGACGGTGCAGCTCGAGAGAGGGGACGTCGGAGGGGAGGAGGAGGTATCGCCCTCCGAGCGTCAGAGCGCAAGAGAGACGGTGCGCATCTGCACCGCCGAGCCGGCTTGACACGGTAGGTCAAGCGCGACTATGGCCGGGCGCTCGCTGCGGGCGGGATCCACTTGCTGGTGCCTCCTGCACCGCCGGCAGCGCTGCCACCGCCCGCCGACGGCGGCGACCGGGAGGCGGCCTTCGAGGCGGCTCTGGCAAAGGCGTGCGGCGGCGAGGCGCTAAGCGAGGCCACGATGGTGCGGCTGCGTGCGATGCTCTCTGTCTCTCCCGCGGTGCTCGCAGCACACCGAGTGCCGTCCCACCCTGCCCCGCACGCGGCTGAGGCGGCCCTCCGGCCCTGCAGGTGTCTCTGCTCCTCAAGCTCCAGTGCGCGCCCGCGCTCCAGTCCCACCGCTTCATCGTCGTCTGCAGCGGCGGTGGCGACGGCGGAGGCGCGCGCGTGCGAGTGCTCACTGTCGGCCTGCTGCCCAGCCCCGGCGACAGGTGTGTGGGGGCTTGGGTGGGGTGTGTGCGCGCGGCGTGGGGTCCGGAAATCCCCAGCCGGGCCCCCCTTCCCCTG